TTTTCCCTCCTGAAGAGTGCCTGCTGTCAACGACCGGCGTGTCCGGGATTCGCCCTCAGACAGTGCCCCTCTCACGTGGCGGGGCGGCGGCCGCCGTGCAGACGCCCTCGTCTTGGCGGGGGCACCCCTGCCCCCAGGGGAGGGGGGCCGTAGAGGAGGGAGGGGGGGGCCAGGGAACGAGGGGGACCAGGAGGAGGAGGAGGAGGAGGAGGAGGAGGAGGAGAAGGAGGAGGAGGAGGAGGAGGAGAGCGGATGAAGGAGCACGTCCCCCCAGCTTCCCCCCTCTCTTCCCCGCCCGTTCGACGGCCCGACGGCCTCAACCTTCTGTCGCCACAGCCGCGGCCCTCAGAGCAGCCACACAGCCGAAGCAATGGGGGGCCTGCGGGAGAACCGATAAGGACGTTGAGCAATGAGGAGGGGTACAAGCTCGATGTAAAACTGCCCTTGGCGTGTGTTAGGTGTTACGGGCACAAACACAAGCACCGTCCAGAAACAAACATCACATCCCACAGAAAGACAAGAAACAACATACACACAACAATACTTTGAAAACCGATGTACGGATGCACTGGGCATCGCCGAACCTTCCTTGGAGCGCTCTCTGACATTTTTTCCACGTTGGTAGCTGACCCGGGCTGTGCTGAAACAGAAGGCCTCCGGGCTGAATTTATAGAAGAAGAAAGAACGCCATAAACATTAACTTTTGGCGCTCCACGCGGAATTCTTGGACCTGCGCTGGACCCACCTCCCTGGAGCGCGCCAGAGGCGGCGCTGGGGGCGCCGCCGGGGGGGCCTCAGCGCAGATTCAACAAAAACAAAATCCGCGGAGCGCCCAAAAGTTTATGCTCATGGCGCTTTTTTTACTTCTTCGCAGGATGGCCTCTGGGCTGCACTGAAACAGAAGAGGTCGGCAACGCGCAGAGGGGGGTCGGGGGAGGGGGGAAGGCTTCTTAGAAGCACCCCTGCTTCTTAGAAGGCGCGGGCCTTCTCTATGGACGTAAGGCCCAGGCCTTCTAAGAAGCAGGATGCTTCTAAGAAGCCTTCCCCCCTCCCCCGACACCCCTGTGCGCGCCGCCAAGGAGGGCCACTGCTAGCAGCGCGTGCGCCGAGCCGTGCCCACGGGGCGCGCGTGCGGCATGCAGGCCGTGCGTCATCTGCGCTGCGGCCCGAGGCAGAAATATCACCCGGCCACGCCCGCGTGCAATGGGCCCCGTGCTGCAAGCGCCCCCCGCGCGCGGGGCGGCTGCGGCGGGCCCCCGACGCGAGGACGCATCGGCCCCGGTCTCCAACAGCGCGTCAGCCGCACGTCGTCGTCGTCGTCGTCGTCGTCGTCGTCGTCGTCGTCGTCGTCGTCGTCGTCGTCGTCGACACCGTCGTCGGCATCGTCGTCGTCGCCGTCGCGGCCGCCGTGGCTCGCCGACACCGTCGGCGACGTCGCCGCCGTCGTCGTGGCCCGCCCACCTCGTCGCCGTCGTCGTGGTCGTCGTGGCGGCCGGGTCGAGGCTGGGCCCGCGCGCTACGCCGCTGCGCTGGCCTTCGCTCCGAGGGCTGGCCCCGAGGCCAGAGTTGGCCGGGGGGCCGCAAGCGGCCGGCCGGAGGAGAAGGGGGCTTATGGGCACTTGTCGCCCGTGCCCCTCTCCCGCCCGCTCCGGCCGGCCGGCAGGCCCGTCACAGACGGAGCGACGATCAAAAACGGATCTGACGCGAGATGGCGCAGCGACCTCACGCGGCGGCTTGCGCGGGGCCGCTGGCGCGGCATGCCGCGCTGGAGCCGAGGGCACTCACGCGCGACCCTGCGCGGGCAGCTGACGCGTCGATGTCGGCGAAGACGACCCCGCTGTTTGGCGTCGCTCAGACGGGGCAGCAGGGGAGGAGAGGAGAGGTGTGGAGGTCGAGGAGCAGAAGACTGCGGAAGCGTGAGCCGTGGAAGCTCCGCGCGGATGTCTGGGATCGGCACTGGGTCGCCCCTGGCGGCGCCTCTGGCGCCGCCGCCCCTGGCGCGCGCCCCGCGCGCACGGGAGGGGACCCAAGCGCCGATCCAAGATATCTGTGCGGATCTCTGTAAGCTCGTGTTTGTGTGCGCGGTGTTTCCCCGGATTGAAGAACCAACAGCCAGGGGCCGGGAGCTCCCGTGACTTTCGGCAGCAGCCGAACGCCCAACGCACACTGTGGACTAGCCATGTTTGTGCAGCGCTTGGTTCCTCGAGGAGGGGTGTGGCAGCGGGGGGAAGGGGATGGCGTCAGGTCGGGCGTGTCCCCCTACAGGGATCTTTTTGGACGAAAAATAGGTATAAAAAAAGCATACAAAAAGTACACAACATTCAAAAATAAGCTATTTTGTAGCTATTCTTAAATATTGCCCCTGTAGAGGGACAGGCCCGACTTAAGGATGGCGAAGGGCGACGAACGGGCGGACGTCGATGCTCGCGCCCGCGCGCTGCCTGCACGCGGCCGCGCGCACTGTAGGCGCCAGAGCGCCTAAAAGACTGCACGCCGCTCAGCCTTGTCGGTGGCAACTAACTCATACGAGCCTCTCATGCAATGTTGCCGACTCTTGCTAATCGACGCTAGTCGACGCTGAATCGACGCTCGTCGACGCTAATCCGGCGCATCTCATCGATTACCAGAAGCTGATCGATACTAGTACACTCTCAAGGCGGAATTGCGAGGGTAAACGAGGCTCTCATGATTTGCAGCCGGAAGACTTAGATGTGCAGCTCCAGCGAGCACGTGCTCATCAAGTGCGCGATGAACGCAACCTGCTCGTACACCCGCGTGCAGCATTGAAAATGCAGCGCCAGCAACTCCGGGTGCTACTCAGAAAGACCCTAGAGCGCCTGCGCCGACGACAAGCACACGCGTACTGATCCGCATCGACGTGGCCATGGACTCCGCGAGGATACGCGGCATCGCCGCCGCAAGGAGTCTGGCCAGCGAGGGCAACCGGCATCAGCTCGCCAGGAGCAGCATCGGCATCCCTCGCGCGTGCCGGACTCCTCCGGAGGGAGCCACGGCTGGAGCGCGGACGCCCCACAGACACAGGCTACGAGTACGAAAAGATTGTCCACAGAAACCTGGTCAAGGCTTCGATCAACATCTCTCGGCGGCGAGCGGGGGGGAAAAGAGAAGGAGAAGGCCTTCTCAGAAGGTTCGGAAGTCCCCTGGCCTTCTGAGAAGTTTCCTAAGCCTTCCTCGAAGACAGAAAACACTTCTCGGAAGGCGCGAGGGCTTCTGAGAAGTCCCGTCGCCTTCTGAGAAGGCCTTCTCCTTCTCACTTCCCCCCCCCCTCGCTCGCCGCCGAATCTCAGTCAAATGCAGAAGCTGGCCGCGCGCGTGCAGTCCCGTGCACACGCATGGGCGGAAAAGGGGCTAGCTCGCGGACGCGCGAAGCCCTGGGCCTGAACGAAGTGGGGCAAGATTCTCAGAAGTGCCCGCAGGTGGCGTCTGTAAGGCCGTGGTACCGTGGTCCCTCCGAGGAAAGTTTGTGCACCCCAGGGGCCTAGGAGGGGGGACAAGGAGGGCAAGCATGGACGAGGAGAAGGAGCGGGAAGGATGATGATGAGGAGGAGGAGGAGGAGGAGGAGGAGGAGGAGGAGGCGGATGGGGAGAGCGAGGTGAACGGCAGGGCGCGTGTGAGCCAGCCTCTGGCGTAGTCTTCGCGCACCCCCGGCATCTCGTCACTGCGCTGTGCCTGGGGGCTCTCCTCGACAGCGGTCGGCACCTGCTGTCTGTGCCAGAGGAGAAGCTGCCTGTGCCAGAGGGGGGCCCCTGGCCGCTGGACTAGGGGAACAAACAATGTCGCAAACATAACATCTCGGACGTCCGCATTGATCCGAGAAATCTGCGCGGACCTCCGGCTTGTCGTGTGCATGTCACTATTCGTTCCCCGGTATAGACCTCTACGGCGGGTTCGCGTCGTGTCGACCCCCGGGGTCAGTTTCTGACACCGCGGGGATCACTCCACTGTGAAAGATCGGCAATTTCCGAACCGTCAGATCGTTCAACATCGACCAGTTCTGGGTCGCCGGCGGCGCTGAGCTCTGGACGCCAGCGGCGGGGTCACCGCCGGTCGCCTCGACGCGAACCTGCAGCGGAGAGACACCCGCCCTGAGCTCCGACGTTGCCAACAAAAATTGCAACATCGCCAAAAATCACGACCAGACACTCGGACCCCATCTTTTTTCTGCGCCATTGTTCGCGCCGGAGCGATTTGTGAGGGTCCCGGGGTCTCAAATTGAGCGAAAAAACCTGCCTCGAAAAAAATGGATGTCGTCATCGTCGTCATCGTCGTCGTAGTCGTCGTGGTCGTCGTCGTCGTCGTCGTCGTCGTCGTCGTCGTCGTCGTCGTCGTCGTCGTCGTCCTCGTCCTCGTCATCGTCCTCGTCGTCGTCGTCCTCCTCGTCTTCGTCGTCGTCTTCGTCGTCGTCGTCCTCCTCCTCCTCGTCGTCCTCCTCGTCGTCCTCGTCGTCGTCGTCGTCATGGAGAGACACCCGTGACCGCCCATCCGATCCGAAATTGATGTCGCCGTCGTCCGCGTCCTCGTCGTCGTCGCCTTCGTCGTCGTCCTCGTCCTCGTGCAGTCCTCAGGGCAGCGCCGCCCAGGACTCCAAGAGCAGTGCCCCTCCAAGCCTCCGTCCTCGGAGGGGCCCAGGAGGGTCTCCAGGGTGAAGGAGGAGGAGGAGGAGGAGGAGAAGGAGGAGGAGGAGGGGGAGGAGGAGGAGGAGGAGGAGGAGGAGGGGAGGAGGAGGAGGAGGAGGAGGAGGAGGAGAGGAGGAGGGAGGAGGAGGATAGGAGGAGGAGGAGGAGGAGGAGGAGGAGGAGGAGGAGGAGGAGGAGGAGGGAGGAGGAGGAGGAGGAGGGAAGGGAGGAGGAGGAGGAGGAGGAGGAGGAGAAGGAGGAGGCGGAGGAGGAGGAGGAGGAAGGAGGAGAGGAGGAAGAGAGGAGGAGGAGGAGGGGGAGGAGAGGAGGAGGAGGAGGAGGAGGAGGAGGAGGAGGAGGAGGAGGAGGAGGAGGAGGAGGTGCGCGCACCTCCAGACTGCAAGATGCGCAAACGCCTCGTTCTGGAGGCCAAGAAATGGGCACCAACTCGAATACAGGGGGGGGCCTCCACCAGCGGGCAGATGATCTCCTAGCTGTTGGTGTTGGTGGTGATCATCATCCCTCGGTGGAGGCACACCGCCGATATTGGTGCTGGTGTCAAGCTCTAGGCCTCCGACATAAAGGGAACAAGCCGTGGCATAAACATGAAGACTCGGAGGTACGCGCAGATTTCTCGGATCTCAGGCGAAGCCAAGACGAGAATAATTCCAGGGGTGGATGAATCGAGAATCTCTGAGATCCAGCGGCTCTGGAGTATGTCTCGGGCGCCGCGGCCTTCTCCCAGCGTTCCGGAACGCTCTGAGAGCGTTCCGGAACGCTTTGGAACTGATTTATCCTTGTCCCTACCCCCGTCCGAAGATCGGTGCTGGAGCCCCCCTCCCTGGCGCGCGGAGCGCGCCAGGGGCGGCGCCGGAAGCACCGCTAGGGGGCTCCAGCGCCAATCCGAAAAAAATGCGCGGGCCTCAGGGTTTCTATGTTTACGTCATTGTTTGTTCCCCGAAGAATGGGGTGCCTCGGAGGCCAATTCCACTTCGAATTGGGGACTGGATAGAGCACTGCGCAAGGAGGCGAAAAGAACGACAGCGTTTCTGGCGCAAGCCTGAGGAGAGATATGGGGAGGTCAGAGGGGCGAGGGGATGGGAGAGGGGGTAGGTGTTGAAGCTCGAATGCTCTTACACGCCGATCTTGTAGTCGAGGTTGCCATGGTAGTCGACGACCTCGTCGACAATCCTAGCGAGCTGCTCGTGCTGCTCCATTAGCTTCTCAAGGCAAGGCTGCTGAACTAATTTCAAGCATTTTGCATGGCAATCCGTGCTGGTCGCAATCCACTTCAACGCCTCCATCTCGTACTCAGAATCGCCTATCGAGGAAATGTTGCGTCGCACAGCCACGCCTGACGGGTCGGCGGCGCCGTAAACCTCGCGCACCAGCTCCTCGAATGCGAGGCACTTCCACCTCGTGGGCTCGAAGAAGCCGGGCCTCTCGTGGCGCGAGCGCGCCGAGACGATCGTGACCCCCGCGAGATGCGGCTGCAGGGAGGGCATGATCGCCTCGCAGCTCATCTCCACCCAGCCCTGCTCGGCATTGGTCACGATGGCCACGCCGCCGCGCCTCTTCGCCGTCTCGAGCGTCACGGCGGCCAGGTCCGCGAGGGCCTCCAGCTGCGCGTCCTGCGCCGGGGTGATCACGCAGTCCTCGTCGAGGAGGCCCTGCTCTCCGAGCCAGGTGGTGGGGAAGAGGGTGTCGTCCCATTCGAAGATCACGAGGTTCTCGCACGCCTGCGGCGGTGCGGGCTGGCTTCGATCGCCCGCCTGGCGTTCGAGCGACCCCTGCGCGTCGCTCCCGAGGTCAGTCGAAACCTCGGAGCCGTCAACGTCGTCCTCCAAAACGAGAGCGGAAATTTTGCACATTACGTGGACGATAATAACTTGCAAGTCGAAACTCGTGAATCGTGAATGTGGCTAGGTGTGGAATCCCTGCCGGATCTTGAGCCGAAATGACGGATGGATCGCTTTGTGACCATGGTTTTTGGGCCAGATCCAAGACCGGCGACGAGGGAACCCCCGAAGGTCTAACAGAGGAGGAGGTCTCCGAGGAGGTCCCTGGATGCCTCCCGAGGGCTCTGCAGGAAGGCCCCATGAGGTCTCAGGGGAAGCCCCTGGAAGTCCCCAGAGGGCTTCAGGGACGTTGGCAGGGAGGGAGGGAGGTCAGGGTCAAGTTCGAGGCAGTCGGAGGTCCCATGTGTCTCATTGTCGCCCCCGTAGCGGGAAGCCCCGGGCCGCCTGGCGTGTTGAGCGAGCGCTGGCCTCGTGACTATATTCAGGTCATGTGAGTATATATATATACACACATACATGTATCGGTATACATAGATTATGCTTGTGTACACATACACATATATATATATATATATGTATGTATATATATATGATATGTATGGATTGTATTGTGTGCGTGTGTTCTGACCCTGCGCTCCTTTCCACCATAGAAGGTGGATGAATCGCATTGGCAACATACCTGCATTGCCTTCCAAAGCCGGTGCTTGCACCCCAGCAGTACGTCGGAGGAAGCGATATATGTGTGTGTGGCTGATTCCAGTTGGGACGTGCAGGCACCACGGCTCTCCTCAGTCTCGGCGCAGACCAGGCGTCGCCTTCGGGGCCTGCGCGCTTAAAGCTTAGCAGGCCTGGGGACCTTCGGCTTGCCACTGGCCGGCGTTGTCTGGTCTAGCGTCACTCTGCGCGCCCGCGGGCCGCCTGCGGGCTTGCCACTGCCGTTGCGGCCGACGCCGCGGCAGCCCGCTTGCACGGGCTTCCACCGCCATGGCCGCCACGCCTCGGGCGCGCGCGCCTGCCCGCCACTCGAGACGGGGGCCCTGCCGCTCTGGCTGGCGCAATAGCCCGTCTCTCGGCGGCGGGCCGCGCCGGCCGTGCCCTCGCCCGCTGGTAGCCGGTGAGGGCGTCCCGTGGCCATGCAGACCCGTCCTGCCACCTCCCCGTTGCTTACCAGCCTGGAACATATCCCTATCCCTGTGCTGGGCACCTCCTCATCACGATGCCAATCTTAGGGATTTCCATATTTTTGGGGGGCGCATCCCTGAGATTGTCATCGCCTTTTGGCGTGTCAATCTTAGGATAGGGATAAGTTCGAGGCTGGTAAGTTGCTGAACCCAACGGGGAGGCGGGGGCGCATGAGGGGAAGGGTGAGAAGAAAGTCTCGCAGAGAAGGAGGCACCCCAGCGGCCCAGAGGCAGGAGTCCGGCAGGAGTGGAGAGGTGGCGGCGCCTGAGGCTGCCGCTCCCGCCTGCGCCCCTCGGCCGCCCTGCCCGGGCGGCGGCCGAGCGGCACCCCGCCCGCTGCGCCCGGCGGCCCCTCTCTGCGGGCCTCCGCCCGTCGGGCCTCCTCCCCCCCCCCTCCTCTCGGGAGCCCCGGCCGCACCGGCCCGCCCTGTAGATGCCCACGCTCTCGGCTACACGCAAGAGTGACCCTGGGTAAGAGTGGCCTTTGGTGCGCGGCTTTTTGGCTTTTTGGGGGGCCGCGGGGGGGGGGGGGGGGGGGCAAACCTGGGCGCGCAAGCCGCTGCTCCTGCTTCGTTTTCAGCCGTCTGGGGACCCATCTGTGCCCGCACCAAAGGTCACTCCGGCGAAAGGTCACTCTTGAGTCTAGTCGACGCTTAAGCACGCTGCACTTATCAGCCTGGAGCATATCCCTATCCCTATGCTGGGCATCACGATGCCAATCTTAGGGATTCCCTTATTTTTTGAGGGCGAATCCCTAAGATTGTCCTCGCCTTTTGGCGTGTCAATCTTAGGGATAGGGATACGTTCGAGGCTTGTAATGCACGCCTCGCCCGGCGCTCCTGCTGGGCGGGAACACTCTTTTCGGACCAGGGGCCGGCCGTCCCGGCATGCCTGGAAGGCCTGCCACGGCCTGTTCTCAGAGCCCAAACCTGTGTTCTTAGAACAGCAGCAATGCTCGTAGAACCTCTTCCCGACGTGTTGAAACAGGACAGGCCCGGCCAGAAGTGTTCTGAGAACATGTCGTGCAGACCAGAAAAGGTTGCTAGAACATTGTTTGGTAGGCCTATAGGCACGCCAGGACGCTTCGCCACTGCTTGACTCTTGCCGCTTGCACTCGCGCCCTCACTGCCGTCGACGCCCCTTCCCGCGGGCGCTGAGCAGTCTGCTGCACGCCGGGGTCACCCCCCTTCCGTGGCGGCCTTCGCATCCGCTACAGTGAGGTCGGGCATGTCCCCCTACAGGCGGATTTTAGACGAAACAAAGAAATACTCGAACAATGATCAAAACATGCGAAAAGAAAATACTCAAAAAATCATCCCCGTACTATTTAATGACTATTTTGAATCTTCCCCCCGTAGAGGGACAGGCCCGACTTAACACTGCAGTCGAAAGAAGTTCATAAGAATGTGGATCAAGAGCGTGGCCCCTTCGCCGCGAGCCCAAGGCTCCATGAAGCTATCCCAAACGACGAGCAATCCAGGGCGGAGAGGGCCCAACGTCCAAGAACATAAGGGTATCCCATCCAGAGCTATGATTCCTCTGGAGAAGGGGCCCAGGGACACACGAGAAAATACACACACGTCCCAGGATTCCCCATACTTAGTCTTCCCCCCCACTTCCCACGTTTTCCAAAATTTCCCTGGGAGTCGACGATTCATTTTGTCTGTGTTTTTTCCCCTCCTGAGAAGCCTCGTGCCAGCTGTACGCTGGGTGCAATCCGCTCGCGCGTGCCCCAGCCATCCCTTCGCGCCAAGGATGTCGCGCTGAGACGGCGGAAGCAAAAACGCGCGCACGCTCCGGCATTCCCTGGCCCACCTTCTCGCTGCCTTGCCGCCTCGCCCTCCCGTCCGCGACTCGGCCTTGCCCGGCTTCGGCCACGCCACCGCTGCTGCTTTCCCCCCCGGTCTGCCGATCGCAGGCCCAGAGACCCGGGGACGTCTTTTCTCAGTACAGGGTCCCCGGAAGGCTCGACCCATTCTCGGGAGCGGCCGAGAGGGGGATGTCCAAGAGGGGGGGCGCAAATCATGGCCGGCGGCATGTGCGCGGCCCTTGGGGGGGGGCCAGGGACGTAATGAAATAAGAAGAGGCGCCCTGAAATCTGGGGAAGTATCATGGCCCCCGCCATGATATCCACCCCGCCCCCTAGTCCTCACCCCCCTCTTCGCCGCCCCCGACATCCCCCCCGACTGGTCTCTCCTCCCGAGACAGTGTCTGATGGCCCCGGGGCCCAGGCGAGGGCCCCCAACCGGCCGAGCACCCAGAAAAAACCTCGGCCGGGATCCCGCGTTGGATCTCTGGGGGGGGGGCGCGCCTCGCTCGCTTCGCCACCCGGCTGCTCCCCCCCCGCGAGTCCCCTCGCCCAGTGCCTGCGCGTGAGGGTCCCGCGCGGCGCCCGCTCCCCTACGCAAAGGGGAGCAGGGACATACAGATCAATAGACACAGGTCGCAGGACTCCCCAGATTTTCCTTGCTTCTGGGCTTTCGTCTTCGCCCCCACTTCCCATACTTTCCCACGCATCCCTGGGAGTCGACGATTCCTTTTGTCTCTGTGTGTGTGTGTCTGCGCGTATGTCTGCGCGTATGTCTGCGCGTGTGTGTGTGTGTGGTGTGTGTGTGTGTGTGTGTGTGTGTGTGTGTGTGTGTGTGTGTGTGTGTGTGTGTGTGTGTGTGTGTGTGTGTGTGTGTGTGTGTGTGTGTGTGTGTGTCCCGTCCTCTGCATCTGCCGCTGGGCATCGCATGGACGGAACGAATTGTCCCATCATCCTCGCTGACATCTGGGTACGGAAGGAGCTCGACCACAAGAAACCTTTCACAAGAAACCCAACCCTGAGACCCCAGGACGTCCATTGATTTGTGTGGGGACGTCACGCTTTCCATCGCAAAACCATCAAAACCCACGGGAATGTCTTGGCATGGGAGCCTTTTTGGGCCCTCTTGGGGCTCTCTTGGGGCCCTCTTGGGGCCCTCTTGGGCCGTCTTGGGGCCCTTTGGGGCCGCTTTGGGTCCCTCTTGGACCATTTTCGGGCCCTTTCGGGGGCCTCTCGGGCCGTCTTGGGACGATCTTTGGAGGCAAACCGGGAAATTCTTGGCATGGGTTTCCACTGTGGGGGAGACGTGGATACAGGCCCCCTGTGCAAGGAGAGCTGCGCCTGGAAGCTGCCTCGGGCGTCCTGCTGCCCGTCCAGCGGGGGCGCAGGCACCACGCCAGCAGGGGGTCCTGCCCAAAGTGCAAGGAGGAGGAGGAGGAGGAGGAGGAGGAGGAGGAGAAGGAGGAGGAGGAGGAGGAGGAGGAGGAGGGGAGGAGGAGGAGGAGGAGGGAGGCGGAGGAGGAGAAGGAGATGGGGAGGAGGGAGGATGAGGGGAGGATAAGGAGGAGGAGATGGGGAGGAGGGAAGGAGGAGGAGGAGGAGGGAGGAGGAGGAGGAGGAGGAGGAGGGGAGAGGAGGGAGGAGGAGGGGGAGATGGGGAGGAGGAGGAGGGGGGAGGAGGAGGAGGAGGAGGAGCAGCAGGAGGAGAAGGAGGAGCAGAAGGAGCAGGAGCAAGAGAAGAAGGGGGAGCAGGAGGAGGAGGAGGAGCAAGAGAAGAAGGGGGAGCAGGAGGAGGAGGGAAAGGAGGAGGAGGAGGCGGAGGGGGAGGGGGAGGAGGAGGAGGAGGAGGAGGAGAAGGAGGAGAAGGAGGAGAAGGAGGAGGCGGAGGAGGAGGAAAAGGAGGAGGAGGAAGAGGAGGAGGATGAGTTAGAGGAGTTAGAGGAGTTAGAGGTGGAGGAGGAGGAGGAGGAGGAGGAGGAGGAGGAGGAGGAGGAAGAGAGCGTCCGAGCACGCTTCTGAAGAGTCAGGATCATTTCCCAAAGGCGGGGCGGGGCCGGGAATCCGCCACCGAGGGGGGCCTTCCAGAATACCCAGTAGGTGTCTCTCTCCCAAAGACTCCCCAGAGACCCGCGCCGCACCCCCTGCCGCCCGCCTGCTGCGCCTGCTG